TCATTGCGTTTAAATGGTGATATTCTGTGAACGGATTGAGGAATTTCAGTATTTTTTTTCAAGTGTAAGTAGTTTCTGAAATTGGCTTTGCAGTCATTATTATTTTTGGTGCTACAAATTTTTTTAAATATGAAATATATTTTGTGGGGTTTGGGATTCGTTTTTTTACTCACCCTGTACGATGGAGGTAGGAATAGATATACACGACCATTTCTAATTATATGTTTGCAAAGAACAAGTTACGAAAAGCGTCAACCAGTTGCTATACGGAAATGAGCCGTTGACTTGAGTGAAGTCTAAATTACGAAGGCGACATGTTATATCAATCAAATTGTTATTTGTCACTTAGCTTTGTCATTTCTTCATCACCTCCGTGCTTTTCCATATTCTACGAGCCAAGGAGGCCAAGATTCGCACATCTGCACCCGATAGGAAGAACATACTAAAATCTGGCACCAGACTCAGAATCATCATTCACTGAAACTTCATTATTTATAATTAACCAATTCTAACATAAATTGAATTAAACCGTAGGCTTAATACAGTAAGGCCGACCCATTAAACGCATCACCCTTGCCTTTAATCCATTTTTTGTGGTAGTTTCATATACTCTACCTTTGATAGCATTTCTTAAGCTTCCAGTCGGTCTACAAGAGTAAGATGATATCCTGACTTGGCTCCTGGATATGGGAGGAGAGGGCAGGGCAAATTGTCAGAACAGCCCATCCTGACCGTTAAATGTATCCCCTGCTTGGTCAATATTGATCCGATTCTTCAAATGCCCACTTCATTGCCCTTTTGTGTCGCCTAATGAATAGCAAAATCAAGGGATGTTTCTCATTGTTGCCCAGTTGAATGGTGCCGTATTTTGGCAATCGCAGCCGGAGATGTCGGGCCATATCCTTGTGTAAAGTCAACATGTTGGCCCGGCCGCGGGCAGGCTGGACCTAATTCTTTACGCCGATGAAAAGTTCGAATTCCCGGCGGAGCCGCCCGTCGGATTCAAGGTATTCAACAAAGCCTCACCGGAGTCTTTCTTGCTGTAAATAAATGCAACAGTTTCTGTCTTGGTTACCAAACATGCAGTTTAAATGCTTCTTACCTTCACGATCAATTTAGGTTCGCCCTGAAAAGGGAGTGATCGGCTTTACATATAGTTCTACTTGTACTTATTTAAGTTGCGAGCGTCAGCTGATAACCTTGCTGGAATTTTATCGAAGTCGCCTTCAGGTTTTTTATTCGCCTGTGCCTTGCTTTTTTTGTGAATCAAGAGCCACATTCCAACCGGAATTTATATCATTACCACCAGTCACTTACTCCCTGCAATTAATGTCTTGCCTGCTTGTATTGTATCTTTGTATTAATTTATATGAGTATTTTTTATTTGTATTCTTGTTTTAAACTTTAACTTAATTACCTACTGGGGTCATAGGAAGCCACGTTCACGAATTTCATCCCAAGACCTCGACGGTCATGTAGGCGTACCTCTGGCTTTTATCTTCTAAATGAATGTTTATGCTGTTAAGAAATCCCTTTCCTTTATCTACCCATCTATCTTCCTTCGCAAACGCAATTACGTGTGTGCTGACAATGCTTCAATTTGTCTCGTATACAACCTGAGCTCATTTCAGCGGTGGGCAAACCACCTGTTATTATTTGTCTACTCCAGTTAGTTAAACCTCCCATTATCCCATCCCTGCAATCAAGTTACTCTATAACTACCATTCATCCCTTTATTGTTGCATCGTTTCCTGTTCTTTTGGGTCTCACTTGTTCTCCCAACAAAAAGGGTTCCCCTGACGAGCACCTCCCAATACCAGTGTTTGTGTAGTGTCAAGAATTTCAAAATGACACCACGGGGAAGATCTGGGTACAACCCGCTCGTGAGGTGGCGGTGATGAGTCCACACGAGGAACGAGTGAAAGGAAAACAAGCGCATCACAGCCCTTGCCTACCGCCGTCAAAAAGTCCCATTCGCCCCACGGGTGTTTGCCGACTTCTTGCCTCCCCGCTCGGAGTTGACGGCGAGTCCCCATGCGACGTCCTGATTGACTTGTTTTTCTCCCGGTCTCTCAAGAAACACACAAAAGCAAAATGTCATTCCCTACTGCAAATATTTTGCACCTTTCGGCAAAATGCAAAACTTTTTGTTCTTCAAAGATGCTAATTACAGACCATTTACCATCGGAGAGTGGGGAGCTGCCAAGGCTTGGGTGCGTACATTTTAAGACAATGGACGGGGAAAATGTTAGTGGGCTGGAGCCCTTAGGATATTAAATAAACTAATGGAGTTGACAATAGTTACTTTAATTTATTTGAACAGCGTACTGAGTGCAATTGAAGGACAGAATAGGTTGTTTGGGCGCCGGTAGGCTTTCACAATCTAGTTACTATTTCAATTTGAAAGCACACCCCAATATAGCTTCTTTTTCGTTTTTGATAAATAAACGGCACCTAAACAATACATCCATGGCATAAAATACTTCTTCAGATGTTTCGATGCGTGCAAAACTCACATTTTTTTCTTTTGGTATAGGCCTATAGCAACATCTCTAGAATTTCGGTCAAAATATTTTAGAATGGTTACGAAAAAGAGCCACAATTGGACCCTAAGGTGTTCCCCAGACAACTTGACATGTTCGCATCAGTTTATGATATATCAATTGGCAGTTCTACTCAGAACAATTCAATCAAATTTGTTGTAATTTTTTTTTAACAGTTCACAGGGTTTTCTCTGCCTGATATTTTAAGTTGCAACTTCATTTTGTTCTTTCAATTCCAGGGTGGTGTAAAAAGAAGGAAACCCACTTTTGACAGGAATTTTAACCTATAGTTACTTAACTTATTTGAACTTTTTTTTTACGATGTAGTGAAGTATAGCTCTTCAACCATAGGGCCTACGTGGTGAAAAAAAAATTAAATCGCAAAAATAGTTTCATTATGCAAATTTGAATACAAGTCCCAAAATCACTGTTGTTTACGTGTAAGTCTAGTGTAGTGTTTTTTGTCTTCAAATCAAGCTCCGGAGCTCAGTCAAGCGGATGGAATAAAGCCGTTCGTGGACAAACAGGTTTGGCACGTGAAATTTTTAAACTACCATCTCAGAGACAAATATGCATTTGCAATAATTTATTCGTCACTTATGCTTAAAGATCAATATTTTAATACTATTAATTTGAATTTTTGAAATATGCTCAACAAGTAGGTGGTAATTGCTGTCAAAAATAGGTGGAAATTGCTGTCAAAAATGGGTTTCCTTCGTTTTGTACCACCCTGTAGTATGCATTCACACCATTGGACTCGGTGTAGCTGAACATTTATCAATCAGACTTTTGCCTTCCAAAATTCACAGTTGGCTTTCATACGTTTATAAACAATTACTGACACGCACGCACTTGACATTCAGTATACTAATTAATGATTTCGTGGATATTTTGATATAGCAAATATTCCGACAGATAATAAGATAAAACTTTACGAAAGCACCATGTGATAAATCTCTTATGTGAGTTTGTAAGCTTCTGAAAAAAAACCCAGGGAAATCATTGTTTCGGACAGTATGCTCTGCTCGTCGTCAAGAGACTGACAGAACGGATTCCCATGATATTCCGACAGATATAAATGAATGTGAAAAACAGAATAAAATCATCCGTTTTCGTCTCTCTAACAAATCAATCAAACACTTGACCAAATCCTTCAAATTCTTTCCATTTCCACGAAACTGCCTACGGTACCTATTATTTCCACTTCCCAGCCTATTCTTCCACTGACAGAGAAAGGAGTAACAATATTGTCTTGGATTTATTCGGCAGGAAGAATCCTTTTTTTTCTTGGCACCGATACATGTTTGCATCTACCTCCAAGAGCTCCTTTCTACCTTTATTTAATTCTATGGTTTCGGTGTTTTCGGTGTACGGCATAGCGGCGAAATAGAGTTCCGTGTTAACAGTGGCACTTCGGACACTGGCCTCACACGCGTAGGGCTTCGCGGCACAAGCGGATTTCTCCCGGTGTTGTGTTAACGGTAAGGCGCGGTTAGTGCTTTGTGGTCGCTGATGATGGGCTAAAGAGCTTGTATACGGTGTTGTGCATCGTCCCGCTCGCTAAAAACATAAAAGACACAACTTCACAGGCATTAGCCTTTTAAAAATGTTGGCCCACTACATGGTCTTCGTCAGAAACAGCCCGCAACTTGCAGAAAGGACTGAAGTATCAGGTCATGTCCTAAAATCAGTCTTGCGCCATTATACCAATTTTTTTTGTACTCTCTTATTTCCACAAAGTGAAAGATTCACTCTTTCCGAGACTATTATAGGAACAAGAGGTTTAGAGTGACAGTTTCTTATCTTACATAGTAATAATGTTCAATCTAAATCGTATGGTCCCTACTTTCAGTGAATGAAAGAGTGATATTTCAATCTTGGAAGTAAGAGAATATGCAGAACGAGGTTTTAAGTGGTTCTTAGCATTTCTTGACGTCCTATCTCTTTCCCCATAAGTAATTTTTACCACACAAATCTAAATTATATTGAAAGACGAAGCCAAGCAGGAGTTGGATGGATTTGCACTTGTATATGCCTATATTACCCATTTGGTGAATGGTTTATAGCATCCAGAGGAAAACACAAGGTTATTTCCCGAACCTTGATTTTGGTAATGGATTCCAAATTGTATAACTTGACATTCCCTACCTGATGTTAAGAATGTCTCTTTGACGATTTGGGATCCAACATTGCAATAATAAAAAAAACCCGATAAGGTTATCGACAAGATAGAGCCGTTTTGTTTGCTTGAAGATTGAAAGGCTCAAATGAAAGGAAGTTTGGATGGAAACATAGTTTCGTGCGATTAAAAATAAAAGCTTAGAAATCGGATCACTTATTTTGAAGTAGGATTTGGAGGTGTTAGGCCTAAGTCATTCTTGTAAAAAAAACGAGTTTATGTACTTCAGTGTTTGTTCTTTAAACACTTGCTTAAAATGATATTAGGAACGCAAGGGGTAGTTGTGTGTTTTCAATAGTTTATTTCAATTCTGTACCAAAATGAAAACGGTTATCTTGAAAGACTTAGGATATTTGTGAAATTCACAGACTCTAGAACTCCGGTTACTTTGTTGAGCAGAGTGAGAGAACCATACACTACTAGTATCGTCATTAAATAGTCTCCTATGTGGATCGGAGCGAGGAATAAACACTGCAATGTTTGCTCTTTCATTTTAACCCGGAAAAGGAAAATTACTTTAAATCAAAACAAAATGTAACAAAACATATAGAAGATTACCAGCATTAATTGTTACAGCTCATTCTAAAGAATGAATTTTCAGCACAGAAGTTATCAGCCTTAAAATTATATTTCTGTTAGTCAAAATCTAAAGATTGTTAATAATTGAAGGAGTTGTTTCATTGCAATCAAATATTTACAGGTTTTATAATATTTACATATCCATGCACTCCGAATCCTTATATAGTCCAAATCTGTTGGTTCTAAAAGAACTATATTTACGTATCGTCAAAACCTTGAGACCAATTACACAAGCAACTATGCAAAGGTTGCTTCTGAACTGGAGATGCTACAGTTACGTTTGTCACACACACAAAAAAATCAAACCCAACTCAATTTCAAAGTGAAGAGTATAATCAAGAAAGGGGAAAAACCGTACACAAAAATCATAACGTAATATTGATGAGTTTAAAGCATGACGATCACAGTTCCGATTTACGTTAACAGCTGTTTTCCGAATGCTTTTGAAAAGACAAAATGACAGAATGAAGTTCAAGATGCACGAATGATATGAGGGAACAATTCATGAAAAAGGACGATGTTCAAAATGTCTACGGTGACAAAACTTACTTAATTTGTTCAAACACTGTGCACTTATCATTTATCGTACGGTGGTATGAAAGGAAAGCGGAACTTTCGTAACAGGAAAGGCTTCCGTTTGGTGTTGATATTAACCTATAAATTCCTTTTAAGGATTCAAAATGAGACAAATAAACGCATCAGTATAAAGCATGCAAAACAAAAGTAATACACTGCTGTGGGATGTTGACCATGGACGACATTACATATGAAAGAAAACGTCTTATAAATAAAGATGGAAATTACAAATTGACCAGCCGACCACTCGGTAGTCGGGTCAAAGCGTGCGCACCGAAAGAATAGCGCATGTTAGGATCCCACCAAATTTAAAGTAGGCTAAGCCTCGCGATATCATGACCCCCATAAAATATATGTTTGGAAAAGGAAGGACACATTTGTGTATTCACATCAAAATTCTAAACGTAATAACCAGTGTTAACCTTTATAAGTCGGAAAGACCACCTTTGGCAAAATAAAGACCTATTCGCAGAACAATTTTAGGGGGTATATATCGTGTATTTAGTTGAACAATTGTATCTTCATTAAAGTATGTTTCGTAACGTTTTATTTTCCCGAAAGCTGTTCTTGTTTAAGAACAACAAATATGCTTTTGTACGTATATTTATGTTTTAAAGATTCTAACCTCAACTTAGGAGTTCCTGAGCAATAACTTTTAGACCATTTTTTCACTGAGGCCCGTGTGTGGGAACGTTTGTTTGTTAACACTGTAAATTAATTTGAATTTTTCAATTTTGCATGAACAATAATATTAATACTTTCATTTATTAAAAACATATCTGCTTATATAATTACGACAAATGCCTTTGAAAAACAATTTGTTGGGGGAAGATTTTAACCTCACCTCTGAAGTTCCTAAGTAATTTTACTTTTCAAATGTTCTTCATTTAAGGCCAGCTTGGTTTTTAAAAAGAATGTTGTGGAATTCTTCGTCCCATCTGACAACATGAACTGGACCCGTATGTTTGCTGTAGAGCGGGATAAGATGACAGAGATGCCGCTGCGTGATGCGATGTTTGCACGGCCGACATTCCCCCGGCGGACAGGTAGCCAGTGCTCGGTGCGATCGCCGTGGAAGGGTAGTAGGAAGCAGCACCGCAGTAGGCCTGGCTGGGAGAAGTCGGAGTGGTCCAGGAAGAGTCAGTGAAAGATTCATAAGAAGATGAGTATTGTCTTGACTGATGTTGGAGACTCGACTGGTAGTGAGATGGGTAAGAGTTTACCGTCGGGTCCCTGCGATACGCGGTGGCTGGGTAGCCCGGCGCATACAGGCTGAAGTGTCCGTAGGAATTCACGTGTTGTATCTGTGCCGGTTCGTTCCTCCGTTTACTCACTTTGAAGCGTTTAGCCCGCCGCAGAAAGCTCCCGTTGCTGAACATGTCGCCGCAGTCCGGATGCATCGCCCAGTAGTTGCCTTTCCCCGGTCGGCCAGGCGCACGCGGTATCTTGATGAAACAGTCATTCAGCGACAGGTTGTGGCGGATGGAGTTCTGCCAACGCTGTTGGTTCTCTCGGAAGTAAGGAAACTTGTCCATGATGAATGAGTAGACATCGTTGAGCGTTACCATCCCGTCTTTGGAGTTCTGTATCGACATGGTTATTAGGGCGATGTAGGAGTAAGGAGGTTTCACGTCGGCAAATCGCCGTTTTTGTGGGTAGAGTATGCCGCTGCTACCGGTACTACCGTACCTCTCACGGTACGGTAAATCTTCCCGGCCACCATCCCCGTCACTCGGAGGTTCAGGAGACGGAGAACTTGATTCTCCCGGCAACAAGATACCGTATTCCGTCTTCAGTCCCCCACTTGAGGTACTTTTCCGTGTGGTATCATCGCCATCAGGAACATCGCTAGTAAATTCGGCCGTCATTTTTTTCCAATTCGTTTGTCAGAGAGGTTGATGGAATTCACACGTCCGAGTTGACGACAGGACCCATCAGTCAGTGGCGATTATCCGAGACTGATTCGATGACTTCGATTTTTCTCAGTTTTTAAAACAAACTGATCAGCTCGTCTGTCGTGTCTATCAAGCCGCTGTCAAGTGGGTGATAAGAGAGACCATCTTCTCATGAATATTGATGAGCAGGATGATAAATTACTCCCCCGACCCTCTAAGCTTTCTCCTCCTCCGGAAAGGCCGGCCCTAGGCATTGAGGTGAACGGACGTTTGTTTGGTCTGCTATTGTCGCAAAGACAACCAAAGTGCTGTGCCCAGCCTTCTCATCATGATCGCCCTGCCCTCCGCTTCATTGTCGGAGAAAAGAACACTTCATCTATTGATTGGGACCGCTGGCCGGCCGGCACTCTATCAACGTCGGGCCCGTGCTTTTCAGCACCGAGGAAGCCTTTAGAAATTCACTAATCTCCCATTTTTCTGGAAATTCAAGATTGACTTTGGGTGGACTGCTTCTTTATTGGACCGTACATTCGGATTTACTTATTCCATCTCAAATTGTACGTAGGTAAAGTGATTTCCATCGATATGCACTGCTAGCTAAGGAATGAGCTATTACGCCATCCTGCACTCAAAAACGTTTGTCAGATCGAGAAGTCTGTCAAAGTTTATGCTTGGTTTCAATGTATGTGAAATCACTAGTCCTCAAAAGGAAAAATATTTTCTTGAACGGAAAAGTTTGGTGAGTCAGGTTTGGCGCAGTGGTACTTTCATCTCATTCAGCACTGTGACGGGATGAATCCCACCGGTTTATATTCCCTGTTTTCTGGAATTTTCCCTGAAGTGTCCTTAAGTCCAGGGTTTCCGACCTCTTGAAATCAACTCTGTTTTTAGTCGTCTTCTCCATCTAGGTTTTTTCAGGCTTCCAGGCTACAGTCATGTTCACTTTTGATTAACTCTCTTACAGGATTTAGGGTTATTTTAACTTGACTGAAGGACAATCCAGACATTTTTTTGATGCATTGTTTCAGACTTTTAGCCTTTTTGCGTCGACCGCAAACGCCTCCTACCCCCCCCCCCCCCCACACACACACACACACACCATACCCCGAAAAAATATTGAACTCTAACACTCTAGACATCGGCTCGAGAGACGCAAATTGGTTATCCTATAAATGAAGATGCAAGAATGGCATTAAAAGTACATTGCGCTTAGCTTACGCCTATAGTACTCGACCATGCACCCTCAGTAATTAATCACCAATCGGGATCAATTAACTAAATGTTTTTGCACCAGGGCGAAACAATGAGAAACACTCACCCTTGGTTGCCGTTGGCTTTTTTTTTGCCCGCTGATCTCCCGGCCCATAACTGTTTTGCACGTAATGAAAATATTTAAAAAGCATCAGATCGATACGACAAGCTACTGAGACTTAATCCTACTGTGAGCGCGAACGATCACACTCCTTGTAGTAATGGGATGATGGACTTTTACATGACATGATGTCATTAGTAATTAGAAGTACCACTTTTTAAATAAGCACTAACAATTAATGTATACTGTCGACGGAACGTTTAGAGGCTTCCAGCGAGAGTGAGGTGACCGAAAATTGTTTGTTTTTAAATTACAGTCTTTTAAATACCTCGTGCGCACTGTCGTACCTAATTGGGATGCTGGCGGCATCCTACATCTTTGATCGGTCATTGGCTATACGTTTGTGTGGCCTGGGTTATGGCGAAAAGCTACCCACACATTAATTTTTAGATTTATATATTTCAGGTCCATCCAGTCAGTAAGCAGTTTGCAGCAGTCTTACTTTTTTTCAATAACTATTTGGTTAGAGAAAAGATACAAATATTTTTCATATTCCTCTTTAAACTCCTTTTCCCCACCCAATGGGTTTATAGCCCAACATAAGAATTACAGGTGATGAAAAGGAAAACAATGCATGCAAAAGAAAAGGAAGCACATTATTATCAAAATATATTTTATCCTGGAAACGTATGACATGTCGGCTGTACGTAGTAGGCCTAATAATAATTTGACAGTTGAGGTTACAGAGAGGGTGTTGTAAATAGCGCCCTCTGCATTTTAGCGTTGTCTGGCCTGACAACTTTAAACTTCAAATTTTCGTTAGTGGGGCCGTCGGTCCAATGGAGGAATTTTGCAACATCCTGAAAATCACCGAGAGTCCAGTGAAATGGCTAATCAATTAATTAGTACCCTCACTTTCAACCAATCAGAGCCACGAAAGGTCACTCGCTTGACACTTGTTAGAATCCATCGAGTTGTTGGCTGTGATTCACTGGTTCACTCGGATGTACGTTCAAACTACGTACTGTGCATGGTAGAGTCACCAGCGAGAAGTCAAGGTTGTCTGTCAGCTACTGCATGCAAGCAGCGCGCGATATTGATTACAAGTACTGTGTTTACGTCTGCACATTTTGACGTGCGGACGTGTTAGATTTCTCCTCATTTCCCCCAAACTGTCAGCGCTTTACTTGGCTGAAGGGATGGCACATGACATGTGCAGACGGACTGTTTTCCTCGGGGCCCAGAAATGCCCTCAGTATATCATAGACAACGTCGCAATTCCAGAGATTTCAGCAGGTCAAGTTCTTGCCAAAATTCGACTGGCAACGATATGTGGTTCCGATGTGCACACGATGCAAGGCAAGCGAATTGAGGAAACTCCCAGGTAAGTACATGTACTGTACATTACATCATAGAGCAAGGATGTACATAATGTATACGGTTCATAGGGCGACTGTGCAGTTGCGGCAACAAGAATTTCATGTGTTGTAACGAGGAAAATATCTCTGTGTAAATTTAATACCGTACCGAAATTATTTTGATCCCTTTTGTTTTATTAAAAAAAAAAAAAAAAGATAGTGGATATTTTGCCGGAGGTAATGACGGCAAACTAACGATTACTAAAGGTTTGCCGGCGGCAATCCATATCAACAGAGGGCGCTGTACTCTTTAAAATAGGGCTGAATTATAACATGTATTAAATTCCCACCAAAAGTTGTGTAGCACGTTTGGTGTAATGGTTAAGCAAAGGCTCTAGTAAGCGGGATGACTCGCGTTCGATTCCGACCGCACCACATTTTAAAGTTTTTTTTCTCATCCCCAAATAAATAAGAATATTCTTCTTGTATTAAATTTTAAATGTCTCAAACATTTTTTGCAGAATATTACATTTTCTTTTTCAGATTTGTGGCTCTGGAGGATTTTTTTAAAAAGGGAAATAAAGTCCGAAATTATAAAATGGTCTGAATCCCATCTTGTGAATATGAGGTAACAACGATAATTTTGGCATGGAGCCAGACTAAAACTTGTCACCGGAAAATGTTTAAGTGCAAAAAAAACAGTAACTGCGCATGTTCAGTGCATATCCGGCAAACTAACGTTTACTAAAGGTTTGCCGTCTCCGGCAAAATATACACTGCCAAAAAAAAAAATCAAAACCACATGTAATGTAACAACGATGACGACAGCAAGATGCAAAAAAAAAAAAAAAAAAAAAAATTATTAAAAAAGTTAAACAATAAAAAAAGGCAATGTATATTTCATTATTTGACCATGAACCGAGTCCCCGATTGTTTTTGTGGATTTTTTTAGAAATTTTACCAGCATGACAGTTGACACTGAACATATGTGCAGTCTGGTTATACGCTTACATTTAGTTACAATTACATTGTCAATTTGCCATTGTGACTTTGTATTCACGAGATGGGAATCAGACCTAATTCAGTTTCAGACTTTATTTTCCTCAAAAAAAAATGCTCCAGAGCCACGAATCAGGAAAATAAAAAAATTAAATATCTGGCACTTAAATGTAGTATTCGATTTCAAATAAACAAGGAAGACTATTGTGACACTGACAGGTCTATTGCTCGTAAAGAAATGTGCCAAATAGAGCTGGGAGAGGGGGGATGTTTGTGTTAAATTTGGGTTTAACCCAGACCCGTGAACGTGTCGTCAGAGTTTACAATTACAAGCCACTTTCACGGGTCTGTACATTACTAGAGATCTCGCTAACTCGCTGTACAAAGTGAAGCCTGCTGGCGCATCCATATGTTGTGCGCAAACCTATGGTAAACTCGAAATTTAGTACGGATTAAGTACGGCTATTTGTATGTATTCTATATTCTGTTTGTATTCTATAGGCCTACCGGTGCATTATCGAAGCCGATACTCCCAAAGCCAAAACGCACTTGTCCTAGTAAATGAGTATTTCATTTTGCTCTGCGCATACGACGCAAACGCTTGCGGGTATGCGCTGTGACATCTGATTTTTGCCGTCATACTTGTAGAAAATGCGCTGACGTTGTTCGCGTATGTTGTACTTGCGTGTTGCATTTTGAGTACATTATTCAAAACTCATTTCATTTAATTTCATTAAGTTCTACAAACATGCACATAAAATATGAATTCATAATGCCTGGCTTCAAAGTATCTCCAGCGCCGCGGGGAATGAGGTTCAGTGTAACGCTCTAGTAATATACATGTAGCTCTATGGTTTGAACCAAAACACAATAGGCCTATAGTTTAGTCATGTGATAAGTGTAAAACTACATAGGCTTTGCCCTCCATAATGTAATCACTTACATCATCAAAATTGAGGTCAAAGGTCATCTAGGGGTCAAATGAGGACGTTCGCTCATACCCCCCGCCCTGCAAACAGGTCGCTGGGAAGGGCTGACGAATTAACGCTCTGATTGGATAGATTTTGCGTGACCCTTGACCTGCAAGTCATCACGACCACGACTACGACTGAGTCGTTTATAATTCTGTTGTTCCCATTCATTAATGCCCTTTTTTTTCGTTGAAAAGCATAATAATGTAGGAAAATCTGTAAAACTTATCTGTTTTGTAAATTTTCGACTCCCGTCAGTACATGTAGCTCATGCTCCATTTCGAATTCACGTAAGGTCAAAATGCATCATTCGACGCTCAAAATTTGTCCACATGGTCCGCAATGAAAAAGAAATCACATCCGGTATGGTGTGTATGCGTTTCTATGGCAAATTCTCGGATAGCATTTGCGCGCATTGGCTAACTCTGGTCTTAAACAGCTGCAGCCAGATGCTTTATACACAGGTCATGATAAATAACCCAGAATGCCATCCCCACTTCCTTCACAAGATTCTGTGAAGCTCATCAGACCTTCCCAGCACCCTGTTTGCAGGGCGGGGGGTACGAGCGAAATGAGGACGAGGTTGATTTTGGTTGTGTTCTTATTCCTCCATGGGTAAACTGAAAAGTGTGCCAACTAACTGACTGTATAAATTATACTGCCAGCATGCCAGGTGGATCACGCAAGTTTAACTTGCGGTATTTTTTTAGAATTAAAATACACATTTCCAGAATCGAGAACTTCTTATTTGAGCCCTGTCACAGTTAAATATAATGTGACATTTTAATTAAAGGAGACGAAATGATGTGTTGAGTTACCAAGAAATTTCACAATTTATCAGAGCCACATCATACATTACATACACGTACCCTTAAAAAAGTCTAACACAATGTAAACTGTGCATGTTTTGGATTAACTTACAATATTTACTATTCCAACAAATGATCAAAATATTTGCTCGTCAAATATCTGCATCCAAAAAATGTGCGCAGAGTCCGACACATGTTTGCTTGCCCATTAGGGTGTGGGTTTTTGTCTGTGGCAAAACGGAAATGTAGGACATGTTTATTCTGTGTCTGTGAGCAAAGTCCAAGTTGGTGTGATCAAGTGATTTACTATGCAAACAAGCAGATATTATAAATAAAAAATCCCATCCCTCATCCCTGATCACTGTCACTTTGAACTTGTCAGATGTCAAATTTGAGCAAAGCAAAGATTTTTTTTTATTAATGCATGAGTTCCAAACAAAAACACACACATGTGCGTACTTGTATGTACACACATTGCACATGTACTGTAGTTGAATTTGAAGTGAAGTTTTAGAATTGAATTCAAGATTGAAAAATAAATCATTTGTTTACTGTGACTAAGGGTTTCCATTTATGCAACATAAATCAGGCAAAAAAATTAAATACTGATAGAACAGGAGCGGTGAACAATAATTTGATTACATATTGAAGAATATTTTGACATTCCGTTTGCAGCCACAGCGCATACAAAAAACATACAGCCACGATCAATATATACATCATGAAATGCTGCCTGTATGCCAAATGGTGGAGGCTTTCCATTTGAAAGGATGCACAATGGACCGGGAACAGCTTGTTGGAATATTTTTCCCCTCACTATTGGAAATCAAGGCCAAACATAACACTGGATAAATATAGACCAGGAAATGTCAATTCTGGGGAAATTGGGGCACACACACAAAGAACTAGTGAGTAAAAATCATGCATGTAAGTCAGTCAGATGTGGGGCTCCAGACCAGATAATTAATACAATCATACTTTGAGAGTTAAAAGATGATTACAGTATCAGCATCACTGTCAAACAGAGGATCAGTTGTATATTGGTAGTGATCGAAAGGCCTTATGACTGAATGATATCTCCTCTGCATAATGTGCAATACACAATGCCATTATCATGTACTGTACCGGTACATATGTAACCTATTTGAAAATTGGGACTATAGCAAGCTAATTAAATTATCATGCAATCCAGCATGCATTAATAATCAAACCTTCCCTAGTATTTTAAAACTACGGCTATTAATCCAGGGTTGAAAGCTTCAATTTGGCAATCATTTTCCTATGGAATCTGAAAAAAAATGTATTTTTGAGAATTACAGTGTACCAGTTTGAGAAGAAAATTCCAGATTTTGAAGTCAATTTTATTTTTGTGTGATGTATACTTGAATAAAAGTATTAGACAAATATTGAATTTAATACTTAAATAAACAAAGTTAATGTTAGCGATAAAATTTTGTTTGCTGTAATAAGAGCTAAAAGAGAAAAGTTTTTAACTCTGTTTGCAGGTAGAATCAACTGCATGGAACACATCATTTGGCAGAGGTGAAAACAGAGTTTTATTGTTGAGATTAAAAAGAATTTTAACAAGACTAAAGATCATCACAAATGACAGTGAAATTTGAAATAAAAAAAAGCTTGGGTTTCCACCACAAAGTAACAGTTGAACAATACCACAAGACATAACAACAAGACCACAAATTTGAAATAAATCATTAGGCCACACTTAATTTCTCTCCGGTGAATTAATCCTCTGTTAGTGCCTTAAGTAGACTATAAATTCATTAAATAAATGTCCTTAAAACATGAAAAGTTTAGTGTTTTTATACTATTTTGATAATGCTAAATGAAATGTGAATATTTATAAAATAGCTAGGCAATTGGATATCTCAAGAATAAAATCCTGTAAATTTTTCAATTTTTTTTACAACTTTTTATATTGATAACTTTTATGTTACACAATAAAGAAATAGGTAAAACCACCCCCTTCCCAAACAAGAAGAAGAAATGTTAAACTGTACACGCATGCATTCAGAAATGTTTGAAATTGAAGTGATATTGTGTATTTGTGTATCAGATTAACCTACTCTTTATGCCAGTGCACGTCAGCATTTATCAGCCTGCTGTTCCATCTAGATTTCCAGATAAATTGCATTAAAATTGCAATTAATGGCCCATCCTCACCTGGGGCTGCTGTTGAGTGGTCTGCAGTGCAGCATGGCGTAAATTTATGTGGCCGCAGGTTAAACTCAAAACGAAACAGTTCTATTGAAAGGCACTCAGAACTCTTTACTTGTGCTAATTCTCATCAGGTGCATTTGTCGTACCCAGTAGGCTGTTGTATTCAGTTCAGAACATCTTTGAGCAACATTATCCATAGTCAAGTCACTTGGGTCGAGACCAAGTCACGAGTCATTTGCAGTACATTGTGTTTTAACCCTAACAATAGAGGCATTTTTGCCAGGATGCAACCTCAATCCTGCAAAATCGTCGAACTGTCTCCATGTAGAAATTGCATACAGCCTCATTCCAGCAAAATCCTGTTATTTCTTGAATCTTGTCTGATCCTGGGAGGGGTACCGGCCAGGTGACCACTGCCTCAATCCTGCAAATCCTCCAGCAATCACTGTCAATATGTTGAGGCAAAGCCAGTGACATCCTGGAGCACCTGCGGGTGATTTTCAAGTATAATCCAGGCCTAAATTTATGCATGGCTGAGCATAAAGTAACAACACAAGGTGTGTGGCCCAAGACCTTGACACAGTGCATCCTACAATCAGCCACACATTTTTGCCATAGCTTTAATCCTGCAAAATCCTCCATTTTGCTAAGAGGATCTTGGAGGATTTGGGAAAGTTAGGATTGTAGGTGATTTATGGTACCAAAAATATGGGACTTACTAGTAAATTGTTATGGAGTCATAATAGTCAGGTCAGAGAGTCCAGCTCTTTTGCCAATGTCACGGTGACTTGAGTCGAGTCCAAGTCACCGAAATTGTGACTACGGACTAACAGTCTGAGTCCTGGACTGAGTCCTACAACACTGCTACAGAGCTTTTTTTTCAGCCAGTATGGATTTATGAAATAAAGAAGAAAAAAAGCTTTGCAGTTTGAATTGAAAATGATGCAGAGATGAGATTGTCAATTAAAAAAAAAGTCTGAAAATTGAATGCAAGGTCTGAAAGATGCATTTTACTGTATCCTGATAATGTCTTTCTCTCAGATTCAAAAAGTCGGATTGCACTTTTCAGGCAAAAGTCTGAAAAATCTCATGCCTGATGATGGTCAACAGGGCCTTTAAAAACTTACATTTTCATTGTTTTTGCTGAAAAATGACAACTTGTTCATTAGCCTACGTGCCCAGTTGGTTTTTCATTTCATGCAACATCAATACTTATCCTCCAAAAACCCTCAAAATCCACCAGGAGGATTTGGAAGATTTAGAAGAATTGAGGGAGGTAGAAGAGACATGCACTTTTAATACGGCTTGTTGCTCCCTTAAAGGCATAGGCCTATACAAAGACTTTGCTGCTGATTTGTAAATCAGTGGAGGATTTTTTGAGGATTCAGGTTTCTTGGAAAATTGCTTCGGGAGTTGGGGTAGATTAACGGTCTATTTCAACATTTGCTCAGTGTAAGAAAATAAAGAACTCTAAATATGGAACTGTGTTTAAGTGTTTAACCCTGAGTCTGTAAGTCTGAAAGGGAGATATTGTTGTCAACCGATCTCAATCTCTCACCGCCAAAAATATTCTTCTTACATTTCTTGATACGTCTTTCTTATAAAGAAAATAATTCTGTCTCACTCTTCACACATATTTTTTCAAGGGATTGAGACAACAAAACGCTTCTTGAAATTAGACATTTTCCCCCTGATTTCACGAAACCATTCTAGGCAGTGCTGAATTCATCCATCCATTTTCTTTTCTCATTTCTATAACAAAAAAATCTGTATATTTTCTGCATTAATTTATTTTCTCATTAAGGGATTTCTTTCCCCCAGCTTCAGCATTGGCATGTTATGTAATCATTCCTCATGTTTCAACCAGTGTTGCTCCTAGTTGCTAAAAAAAAAAATACTTCTTCGCTTTGTTTCCAGCATCCTTGGGCACGAAGGAGTGGCAGAAATTGTCCATGATGAGAGGCGTAACCATGGCAACCTGAGCCCCGGCGACCGCATCACGTTCTCTGTGATGGACAGCTGTGGCGAATGTGAAAGATGCACACAGGGACTGACTCAGAAGTGTGCCAAGCTCTTTAAGGTAGAGGGGGAAATCAGACATAACATCAGTTCTTTTTTTAGGTCAATCTGTTGAAGCAAAAATCCTGAAAGACTTTCTTGTTAATTGTAAATGTGTAGCTTTGTGTAGACAATTGGATAGGAGCCCCTCCAAGGTGAATCCATGTATAGTATATGGCAGATAGGTGATGGGAGTGTGCCTTTGTTGATGATACAGTCAGAGTAGGCCTATGTCATGAGAAAGATATTTGGCTATAGGGCCATCGCAGATTTGTCCTTTGAAAAAAATATAGGTAGAATAACAAGCAATGGCAGCCATTTTGAAAATTTTGAAAATTGCTTGTTTTGACCTATATTTTGTCAAAGGAAAAATTTGCGATGACCCTATAGCCAGATATGTTTCCTTAGACATACTCTGACTGTGTGCCAAATGCCATGCTTGTATCATCAAAGGCACAATTCCCCCAAATATTTCCCCTATCTGCCCCACTCCATATTGATCAGGGGTATTCTACAATTGCTGAGATACCCTAGGGTATATCGCCATTGGAATTTAAGACAGAAAGTTACCGTTAATAAAATCATTTAGAAAGCTGTCCATTTTGTTTTCATCCTCGCCTAGTATGGCCATTCCTCGATACATGTGCGGACAGGCCTCAGTGGTTGCTACGCTTCGCACATCGTTCTTCACGAAGGCACTCGCATCGTCAAACTACCGGAAAATGTCACTGACAAAATGGCCGCCCCCATCAACTGTGCCTTAGCAACCATGGTGAATGCAATGGGCAGTTTTGAGCACAAGAGGGCCTCACAGAAGAGTGTTCTTGTTCAGGTGAGTCAAGCAGGAACCTTGAATCCTAGGGGAAGTTTGGGGAAAGGGTCAGTGTAAACGTAATGATCTTTTATGAGAATGACCAAGATATCAAATGTCACGCACAGCCAGCAACTTCATTAACATCACACCAATATGTACTTGTATCATACAAGTTTCATCAAATTCATTGAAGTTTTTTTTTTTAATGCTCGTGAATTGATATTGAAACATGTGAGAATCCCCCCATTGGCTTTTGAAACCACTGGGTGAAATGTTGTATGTTACACTGGTTCATGACCCAGTGTAAGTTCATGTTAGCAGTTTTTATGTTGAATTTCACCCGCTGAAAATCACTCAAAATGGTGTGCCTGTTCAGTTGTGTAACACTCATCTTGTGGCATATCCAGAGATGAGGGGGTGGGGTTTGGGTTAATTTTAATTTGCCAAGATTGTGCCAATTAACATTGATTTTTAGGTTTTCATCACCGCCCGCCTCGATTTTCACTCCCGCCCCGATTTTTAATATTTTACATGTTTTCTGAAAGTGTGTTTTAGTCCCTCCAAAAAAGTGTATTTCCCAGACAAGTTTCTCACCAAATCCACAGGCATGGTCACACTGATTTGCATGCAAACATTGTGCACATACTGAGGTGTTTATGCATGCCATATCCGGTTCGTTTAATTTGTCATCTTAACTTAACCATGGGTACTTCACACGATGTACCGGTAACATAGCTCGATGGAACCGGAAGCTAATGCAACTTGAGTGTTTATCCAATGGGCGCTATCCCTATAACAGTCCTGAATCCTCCAATTTCAATATAATTTTGCACATCCCCTAGAGAGTTAGGTATAATGAGTGGTGCGTGCGCGTGCATATGACTTTTTACTAACGAACCAGATAGCGCACTAGCGGTCGTCAAGCTGTAATGTTGTGGCTCCCGACTAATAATGATAACGTTTCCAGCATAACAATTCGTGCGATGTGTTGATGTATTTATAACGACAACTAACAGCCATTCAATCATCCCCCAGTGAATACGAACGGATCGAGTCTGCGCCGCCCAAATACGGCTGTTTATTGTCGTTAACATAGCACATAGCGCAAATTTATTATGCTAATGTATACGTCATCGTATAGTCGGGCACCGTGACGAGTTTATGTGGTATTGATACGACAACACTCTAGACACCAAACAGTGAGCGCGTGTTGTACGGTACTACTCATGGTCGTAAAGTTTTTAAAGTTCAAAGTTTGACATCTAGCTGGCAAGGCTAGGGTAGGCCAATTGTTGCGTTGTTGTTTGTTTGTTTGTTTGTTAGGGTGTTTGTAGGGGTGTTGGGGTTTTTGTTTGTTTGTTTGTTTGTTTGTTTGTTTGTTTGTTTGTTTGAACCCTGCATCATGCCTTTCGTAATCGCCTACATAATCGATTACATGTGGAGTAAAGGTTTTCATGCCATGGTTTGGGATTAATAATAATAATAATCGGCATTTAAGAATGCTCTTATTAGTAAACTAAATCACAGCGCTTACAGTATTATTATTACCCCTGATCATTGGGCCAATTAAACATTCCAAATACCATCTCAGCTCCCTGGGGAGTATACAGCACGATGCTGCCTGTTAGGTGCAAGCAAGCTTATTCAATCACAATAACCATCTCTGCCCTCACAGGTACCCATTTACTCCTGGGTGGAGAGTAGCAATGAGTGACAAAGTGCCTTGCTCAAGGGCGCACGCACCATGACCCCGGCTGGACTCAAACCCACAACCCGCAGCTTTACCCACAGACCACGAATCCAGTGCCCTTATCCACGAGGCCACAGCACTCCTCCCAGGGATTTTGTGTTGTTTTTCCATGAAGAAGGGTATTCAGTGGAACTCAGGTGGTGATGATCGTGAGACTACGACTGTTTCTAGTGAAGTTTAAATAAAGTATCCTCAACATTGGCTGAACATGTGCATATTGTCTGAATTTTTTGTACTCAGTCAACTGTAAACCTAGTCTGCTATAAACTGTGAGGTTCATTACCCTTTCTAAAGTCTAGACACAATCCCTAGGTCATTAAACAGCTGACTGGTACTTAATATTTTAGTAGTTTTCATGTTTGTTGTGTCTTCTTTTAGCTTTAGTACCATGTATCTGACGTTGTCCCCTCAATTCACTTTGAATGTGAAAAAGTGGAATTCATAAAATATAAATTCCCCTCCCGACCAATTTTTTTTAAATCTTAGAGTGATGAAAACCTAAAAATCAATGTGATTGGCCTTACATGTACTTTTTTTCTTTCTTTTCTTCTTGCATATTGTGGTGCACTCACTGAATGAGTTATGTGTTGTAATATGCAAATTTAACAGTTGTTCTTTTTTTAATCTGCTTGGCATGTACATGTAACTGCTTTTCTTATGCAGGAAGGAAATCAATGGATTTAACAGGTACAATATAATTCTACTATCAAACCATCTGAGAAACATAATGTGTTTGTTTTGTTTTGTTCCTTTTGTTTTTAACTAACATGTACGCGTACGTCACCATGCATTTAATTTATTTTAATGCAGCGCTCAAGTACACATGATCCTACAATTCTTAAGATAGAAGGAAAATGAAATAAAATGAAAAATATTCTCTGGAAAAATAGTCCTATTTGTTTTTATCCTGTATGTCAATACAATGGCCTTGACTATTGGAGTGATATGTGCCCTTCAAGAAATGTTCATTACAATATGTATTTTCATTCCCGCTGCTTTAAAATCGATTGCAAAATTCCTCCCTACATCAGTGACATGTCAGCGCATGGTACAAATTCCCTCTCCTGCTGAATATTGCTGAAACAGTAGTCTGTGGCCTTGTGAATTGACTCTGAAATTTTCACTGTAAGAACAGCAGGCATTGGCATTGAAGCTTGAAAATCATCACCAGTGACGCAAGCGGTAAACGAGTTAGGCCAGTCACGTGCGGCGAAGGAGATGTAAAAATTTAACTTGAAGGCTTTCTACTTCTCGCCATCAGAAAATGGATGCATGAAATGACTTGATTAGATTCTCAACATTAGATGTCTAAAAATAGCAGTCAAATGTCATTATCGTGTAGATTTTTACCGATAAAAAGGTGCAATGTGAGATCCTTATAATGGAATGGAAATGGCCAAGTGACTGGAAAAAAGTGAGAGAAATTAAAGTATGACCCGATGCGTTGGAATATCATCAAGCCATCTGTCATGCTGCAAAACTCAAAGTAATATTGGCAGATTAAAGAGCAAATATATTTCTTTTCCCAGGTTTACAGTTAAACAAAAAAAAATGAGAAACAAATCTACCAATGTTTCTGAATTAACCACACAATACATGAGAAAACAGATTTTTGAGGGTATTTGTGTCTCCTGGCAATGGGCAGAGCAGAGCATACTGTCCGAAACGTTGAGTTTCTCTCGGTTCTTTCCAGAACCTCACAAATTCACAGAAGAGATTTGTCACATGGTGCTACCGTAAAGCTTGATCTTATAACTACCTTTAAGCTTCAATGTGGAAACCTTCGAATCTTATCTGATATTTGTGTTTCCCCCAAGAAAACAACCCTAAATGTAGACATCATCAAGAAAATGAATTGCTTACCAACTCCTGCAGACAAAAAGTAAAAGAAAGAATGGGTTTGATACATAGCTCTGGAAAGACAGGGTGAGCAAACTTTGTGTTGATTTACCTGAAACACAAAGATCATGAAGAATCACAAGTGGCATGATTCACTGTAGATTTTGGTCTACATGACTTCAAAGACTAAAGAAACCGTATTAGATCTGTGCAGAGCACATTTTATCTGCCCAGCAGCTCTGCAAAATGTGAGCTGTTGGTTTCAACTGAGTGACTATTTTGTTAAAAACAAATAATTAATTGAAGACACACTGTTGATTCTCAAAATTGCTGTGGTGTTTACCCAATACTTACCAGATTTGGTTTCCTCTTTTTGTTGTTATAAATTTGCTGTCGTTTCCGTTTCTGTTGTCTTTGGTCGTGTATGATTTTCAACTTTATTTTATGTTTATTCTTGTACGTTTTGTAAATGTTGAGCATTTAAAAATATACATTAAATCTATTTTTTATTTTGTGATCCTTTTTTTATTGTAAAGACTTTGTTTTCTGTTTTGACCCCACATGTTTTGTTTAACTTTGTATTGTTTTAAACATTTAAAGTGAGTTGAGGTGACTAATTAACACTTGTTTATGACTGCCTTGATAATTGACCTATTTTCTTTCACACAAAGGTAGTTCTGCAGTTGTGACACGTTTGCTGAAATATTGATAATTCAAAAATTACAACGAATCGTGGAATTCCCTGATGTTTTTTTTTTATCTCTCACACAGGGTGCAGGGCTGTTAGGGATCTATGCCTGTGCCTTACTACACGATGCTGGCTTTGGCAAGATTTACTGCTCAGATCCCAAGCCCAACAGATTGAAGATGGTCCCGCTGTTCGGGGGAAGCCCAATTCAGTCTGGTAAGTTGCTGTCTAAGGACTTTTCACACTTAAGTTTTGCCTGCCAATGACGTAACTAGGGTTAAACTTCCAGGGGGGCACCTGGGGTACACAATTTAACATTTTTTTTAAAGGGGGCAGTAAAACTGTTTGCTCAGTTCAAGATTTCAAATGGGAAGGGGGGGGGGGGGGCACCCGGGGGGCACGGAAATACGCTGGTGGGGTATTGGGGGGGGGGGGGAGGTTCCCGATCATGGGTTGAGGAAGGCCATTCTCACATGTATACTGGTTTGAACATGGGTTGCCCATAATTTCTGATTTTCTACCCGTGTAGAACATCTGAACCCTGGTACCACCAGAGCTGAATTTTACCTGTATAGAGCACTGCAACCATGTACATGTACCCCCGTAGAAGCAGTGTGTGATTCTTTTAGTATGAAAGGCCTTGCCAACATTTTGGGGTCGGACCCAGGTTAAATACAAAGTTTTGGACAGTACAAAAAGTCTCTGAAATCGTGATTTTTATTATTTTTTAGTTACTATCAATGTTTAAGAGTAAAGCAAATTTCCAGTTGAGAAAAGCTACTATTTTTAAAAGTTTTGGCATCTGCATGCATGTTTATGGAATTGTTGACTGCATATGTGACTGGTTGTTTTTTCCAGTTTGTTCATCAAAATCATCATTTCTGTGAATGAACCCTGAAACTGTAGGTATTAAAGATGTCATTCATGACAAAAAAATGAAAAATCACATTTTGACAAAATGTTCACCCTCTCAATGTAGAGCAGGCCATTACACGACAATGCACAGCGCGACTTAAATACTTTTTTTGTGGAGCCGGTCACATATGGTTCTTGACTTGGAAGTTACCTCCTCCCTGGTGTGTATGTTACAAGATCTGGCTGCTTTGCCAGCCGCAGAGTGGCCTTTCGCAAACCCTTCTATTCAAATCTAATTAGAGTACCATTCATGGGAATGAATACAAAATTAAATTGACTCAATATAATGGTTGTGACGTGCTCAGGTCCACAATGTGTGTCATGGCAACTCGCCCCCTCTCAATGAAAGCAGTATGTTAATGTTGAGTGCGGTGTATTATTTTCTGTGATATTTGTCAGAACAGTCTGAAATCCAGTATTTCTTTTTAAAATAAAATAAACAAAATGAGAAAGTCCCTTGAAACTGTCTTATATATAATTTTTATAAGTTTTTGGACTGTTGTTCACTTGATGGTACATTTAAATCTATGAGTCTGTCACAGTCCTGGAGACATCTGCAGGTCCATGCTTGATGCGAAATCAAAAGCGAAGCAAATAGAATGACGTCAACAATTCAAGTACCACTATGATGTTCATGGTTACCCTAATGAATTTGATTCGCTCCGAAATTCACGTAAAGTTGGAACCGGCTTTAAGAGTTCTTTTGGGTTTTTTTTTTTTTGCGGAGGGGATTTATCAAATGTTACTTAAAGCATGCATGATGATTCATCCCATTTTCTGTAACTGTTCTGCAGGGAAAGAATGTGAAGTCCTTCAGGATGGTGAAATTGACATTGTGATTGAGGTCAGTATGATTCTGGAAGGTGTCGTCCGTGGAAAAAGGACTGCAGAGTATTTGCATGTTTTTTTTTCTCAAATTATAATCTTTGTGGTTTTTTATCGGAGCATTTGTAGATGGCTCAGCTTCTTCCTGAATGTCCCTTCTAACTGACCACAATTTTGGTTTCTGTAATGTTTGAAGGACAATTCGAGAACTTGAGACGAAAAAATGCTACTTTTGTGTGGACTTTAGCTGACATGATTGGCTTGTCACAACTGACTCACAGTGACCCAAAATTCCTGAATATTTGGGCCCTAGCCATTTCCAGACTTGGAAAGTAAAGTGTTGTTGGAGTGGATGTACATTTGTACTTGTACACAGTTTTTTTTCCTCTAATGTGCATGTTACATCTTTCTTGTCTTTACTTAGCAGACTTGATGTATTCTTGAAGCAATGTGCTTGTCAATTTGAAATATGCTTCACTTCTGAAAATTGAAGACCAACATAAGTTTTGGGTTTGCAGTGAGGGCTTTGGGCCTTATTCACAAGTTGGCCATTTTGTTTTAGTTCCCTGAACATGTAACATTAATTCTATACTGTTGAGTGGGATGGCGCCAGACTATTTTTTGCAGGCATAATGCAGCCTTTTTTTACTGTCCTTATTTTTAATCTGGCTTTAAACATTAGGGAACGTTTAATTACAAATTTGAAATCATTCATTTTAGGCAGACTGGAATTAATTAGTAATTAACTTGCTTTCATTTCTCTACACAAGTTCCAAAAATGGAGATTTTACCTCACTCTCAATCCGAAATGGCCGATTCATGAATAAGGCCCATGGTATTAGACAAACAAACCATATTAAAAAAAAATTTTCCCATTACTGAATAAAAACCAATACATAAAGTGTCCATACATGTATACCAGTTCCTCAAATTTCATTTGCTCTTTTCCATAAAAAAATGAGCAATTAAACCGTAAACTTTTGTTATTCTAATTGTGATGATAAGACCGTTGTCTACAATTTGTATGTCAACAATATTGTTCAAATATCTCATTGCTTTGTCCCCCTGTAAGCCCCGCCCCATTAGGCACTAAGTGGTAAACTTAAACACGAGGGGGTAACTCTGTCAACAATTGTTCAGTACCTGTCACACATGTAGAATAAATGAGACTTAGGTTTTGCATGGTGGACATGATCAATGAATTAGAGTTTGTGGTAACACCATGTGAATGATATCTGTTTGTGAGTTGTGTGGTTTGAGAAGAACCAGTTGGTTCAATTCTTAAGTCTCATTTAACCTTGCTCTACATGGACCCTGTAACCAACCAAGTCAGGTCATTGAGCGTTCTTCCATCCGTCACGACGAACAGAGCATACACTGTTAGAAACGTCGAGTTAAACCAACTGGTTCTTCTCGGAACCACACAACTCTCAAAGATATATCATTTACATGGTGTTACGGCAAACCTCTGATTCATTGATCATGTAGCCTTGGTCAATGCTCTCGTCGTTATTCGTCCCGTACGCGGTCAATCGTCGGCATATATCCTCACGCGCTATGCACATGCATGTAAAATTACAGCGCGAACAGCGACCACATGCGGCCACTATTTTTTTATGCAAATCAGTTGAGGATGATCTCGAGCCTTGGTTCAATCGTCGGCAAAAGCTTATGTTTTTCTTTATTTTGCGCTGGATTTCTAGCGCACGACCTCGTATGCGAATACAGAGAAGTGTAGGCGGGGCTAATATGTGGAGTGTCCAATCACACCTTGGTAAATCCGGACGTCATCAAATTATTTGCAGCTATTCGCCTTTTGCGGACGTGACAGGAACCACAGTTTTTGTGCATTGGTGCCGTGTGCAGAGACACACAACGTGTACATTGTACGTGTATGCATTATGTACGGTGCCACGTTTCACTATGTAAGTTTCCACGCAACGATCGACCAATAAAAAAACGACATTTAAGGTCAGCTAAGGCTATTAACATAATGAGCACCACCCCCAAAACCTCACATGGACGATTGAACCAAGGCTCGAGATCGTCCTCAACTGATTTGCATAAAAAAGAGTGGCCGCATGAGGTCGCTGTTCGCGCTGTATTTTTACATGCATGTGCATAGTGCGTGAGGATATATGCCGACGATTGACCGCGTACGGGACGAATAACGACGAGAGCATTGACCAAGGCTATTGATCATGTGGAATAGATTGATACTTTTTATTGACATCTAGAAAACTTTGAAGTATAACCTATTCCATTGTTATTTTGTAGGTATGTGGTGTGGGTTCCGCCATAGCTCTAGGAATGCGACTCTTGAAACCGGGTGGGACCTACATTCTAGCGGGTCTTGTGCATCCGGACTCACTCCTGAATGTCACAGCAGAGAGTATCATCCGAAAGTGCCTGACAATCAAAGGTAATTTACAAATGGTTTGTGGTGACCAAGACCTAACTCAGGAACAAGCACCTGCTCAAAAGAGAAAGATGATCATGTACGTGCACTTCATTGTTGCCCTGTGCCCTGCAAGCGATGTTATTTTTCTCATCTGAGATAAGTTTGTGCAAATTCAGATGAAATTTGGCTGTACACACATAGCACCATACACAGTGTTTTTACCTTGTGTGGTACCCCCCCCCGAAGGAAAACAGTTGTAATGGACATTACAACAGTTGTCTGACCTTACCCCACATGGGATGTGCCAAAGAGGGATATTAGGAGAACATTGCGAGTACCCTGCAAATCCTAACTGTAAGGTGTCCACGCACCCAATCTTACGGATGGGGTTTATGGGGTGCTTGCATTTTTCTCCTTTTATCCGTCTTTGTTGGAATTTCCCTTGTGGGGTATTGTAAGACAAAGGCCGAATTGTTAGGCACCATATCGTCGCGTCAGTGCAACAAGGGGCATCTCCTAAAATGGCATAAACATACGTCTCCACAGGGCAATTTCTATAGAATCTCCACAAGATTTTCACGAAATAGATATATGTATTTTACTCACAAACTAGGAATTTCCAAGGTGGGTTGATTTGTCGCAAATGGAAGAGTTTTAGAAAAGGGATATATTTAGTCCGAATTTCAGCCAAGGAAATTAATTCTGGTTTAAATAAGAGCATTTTCAAACTTCACTTTCAAACTCGAAAACTTTACTACACGAGAACAAAGAAATGTCTCCACAAGAATACAAATTTCAGTATGTGTGTGCACATACATGCTCTGTCCACACAGTGGTGCTCATGAGTAGGCCACACATAACGGTACCATCAGTCTGTACAGAGTTGATCATCATATGAGTGACATAACATGAGACGGTATCATAACATAAGCTGTTGACTTTTCACAGGTCTTCTAGAAATCATACATAGCTGACAAAGGGGTTTCTTCTTTTGTTGTCACCGTAAATATTCCAAGTCATTTCAGACTTCACCATAGCAAATCTTGAAATCGTGCTAAGCTAGCCATTTCAAATTCTGAAATATTTCCAGTCATTTTTACAGGTGTGATATGTCTAAGAAAAATGCCCCCCTACCCCCGCCCCTCACCATTTGAGGAGGGAGCAGGAGGGAATTGCAATGATCCTTCTTTACTAAGTTTTTCAAATTTGTGTATGTGTGACAGGTGTCCACAATTACAGCCATCAACATCTAGATGAGGCAGTGGCATTTCTGTCTCGGACAGCCAGCAAGTACCCGTATGAGCAGCTGGTGGGCCCGGCGTTCTCTCTGAACCAATTTGAGTCTGCTGTGCAGGAGGCCATTCAGGGTCGCTTCTGGAGAATCGCCTTGAATCCAGCACTAATGGAATAATGGCCGTTGACTAGATACATGCAGTATATCGGTGGTGTGATAGCATTGGGTATAGCACTTGCGGGGGTGAGGGGGGGGGGGACATGGGCCTCCTTATTGGGGGCCATGTGTCTCCCAAACCAACCCCTTCTGTAGAAATTCCCCACCTCCAAAGATGGAGTAGATCTAGACAAAAGAGTTTTTGTGCATGTATATTTTAAAGCCAAGACTCACATGTAACTGTTCCCCTTTTGAATAGGAAAATTGAAATTGAACCAAAGTTACACTGCTGTAGTAGAGGTGATCGATATACATTTAAGAATGCATTTGAATTTTTAAGGTAATACCTGTTGATGAAAGCATGTACTTTTTTAAGGGGAAAAAAGAGGAAATTCAGTTGACTTGTGGAGAACTTTCACATCCTATCACCGCTTCATTGACAATAGGAGGCTCTAGTGCAACACACAAACAGAATCTTTTAGAGTGCATTCCATAACTTAAATGAGTGTATATGATTAATAGGATTATAGAATTTTCTCTTGCTCTATTTCATGAGTAGAATTTGTTAGTGGAATGATTAACGGGCTTTGAACACTTGGACTGTCATATTCTAGATTTACTGATGTAACTGTATTTTTATCTTAAATGTTATTGCACGCAGTTGCCTTCTTTGAGATTTTATGTACAATTTATGATTAAGTAAATTTGTGTATAAAGTCATCTGTATTTTCGTGTAAATATGCTTGTATACTGTTCCAAAGATTTGTCTTAGTATGTATATCCATAGGTGAAGATATATTTCTGTATTTGTCTATGAATAGCACAGATTTCGTAAAAAAGGTTTGTATGGACACTTAACGAGACAAGTAACATTATATATTTTGTACAAGTAGCACTTCAAAGTTGTACTTTCAATACTTATATTGATCATTTAATTACGATTCCATAGATCACCTTGCAATTTTTGTCTATTACACTATGCATGTTAAACAGTAATAAGTCTTTGGCTTACTTCGTTTCCTCATCACATGTCACATAAATGTATTGTCGGAGCTTGGAAATTAAATGGCTTGGTAAGACTAACATCAAAATTATGTAGTAAGTTTAATGCATGTATAAGTAGAACGTAAGAAGAAATCGCATCTTCCGTTTTTATCCACATGTTTCTGAATCACGCAATTTTTGTCTTGAGGTGTTGACGTTGTACTCGATGGTTTCACATGTTTTTCGTGGACGTTTACAATTCATGGATGTGCTTAATTAGTGGTGTTTGCATGCAAAGACCCAACCAAAAGAAAAATTATGCAAGGGGAAAAAGGAACACCGAAAATCATTGTGGCTCCTGACAAACATAAATTGCATTCATCAGCAGTCAGCAGTCATCATGTGGGTGTGTTTTGTTATGCTAATTCATTAACGATGAATGCACAACTACAGGTACTACATGTACGTACGGTCTACTGATAATTCCCCTGTTGAACAAAATGCACAGGCGCATATACTACAGTGCGGCGACGATCTATACCATCAGTCGAGTCAAATCATCACAGTCACGTCACTAGTTTATATGGGTTTTTTGCCGCAGTTCATTTCAAAAACTGTAATTCGACATTAAGACTGAATGACTATCATAGGGATGACCTGTGATGACTTGAGTAAACTGTGATAACTGGATATATATATCTGCATACTAGAATTTTATTCCAAATTAACGGCCGAATGATAATTTAATATCGCAATTAGAAATATTGTATTTACTTTCGGTGTGTATTTTGGAGGTTGTGGAAGGGGCAGATATCTCCGTAACAATGCCAATGCAATTAATACTACTGTGCAATAAATTAACAACTCACGTAGCTATAATAAAGTATTAGTGTCTAGTATCGATTTGTGTCCAGCCTTGCATTGAACACCGCCACTACTGTCTCATGATAGCTCCAATGCAGCAGCTTCGCTTGCTAGAAATCTGGGCCAGCTAGCTGGGCACGAACAGAGCTGGGTAAACATAATATGGGGCTTAACCCTAATGGGGCCGGGGCCCCTCAACTTTTGTCCACGATAGCCTAGAAAAAAAATCGCGACCCGAGCTGCCTTTGAGCCTTGAGTCTTGTGCATCTTTTGATATCAAAAACAAAAAAATTGGGAACAGATCCAAAAAAAATCCGGGGCTAGGCGCCGTGAAAACTGAATTTCCCCATATACTTAGTGTGCACAAAACAGAATTTCCGTTCGTGCATATGGATAATTTGTTAGCCATAATTGCAAAGCCCTTTGACCCCTAGTCATGAAACTTCTTGGGTATGTTAATGATAAGTTGCTCTGTGTATGTACCGAGTTTCATAATTTTTCGTCACTCGATGGCCGAGATCTTAGGGGGCTGAATCCGCCCCTCACCCCCCCCCCCCCCCCCCGGGCTGGGAAATTGTCAAAATAACCCGGCCCTTTTAGGGTTAAAGGACGAGGGGAAGGACTATGAAATCAAATGGGACATTGTTCAGAAAGCACTGCCATACTCTAACGTAAACAAGAGATGTAATTTGTGTATAGCAGAGAAGTACATAATTATATGCAGTCCAGATGTAGGTACACTAAATAAGAGAGCGAAATCGTCTCTAATAAGTGCAGGCATCGTGTACGCACGCTTGATTCGGAATAGGGAAGATGCTACTTGTATTCTGTATTGTCATTCTGCTGCTGAGTGCCTTACGGTACGAAAACAGTCTGTCCAGAAGAGAAATATGTCAAAGTTTGATTAACGAAACATGCAACTCTTTTTTACGAGAACAAAAACGAATTCGTTGAGGAGTTTGGCCCGTACATCATCCGCAAGATTCCAGAGCAAAGAATAAGTATGTAAAGGTGAACAAATGTGGTAACTTGATTGTGGTTTACCTTGATCAAGTTGGCACGAATTCGAATCCGAAGGAAAATGTTCGACAGAATAATGGGGACAGCAAAGTGGCTGTTGCAGGAGTACTTGTGCACGGAGCCCATACGCCCGAAAGGGTGAGCGCTCGATCATCCTTAACTAAATACAGAGCAGACGTTCGGTTCGGCTGTTCGTCAGTGAAATGCATTCACTGCACCACTTTTATCTGGCTTTGTCATACTTCATCTCGTACTATAAAATGTTATATTGCACGCTCACATAGGCCTACATGTCAGTACATCAATCGTCTGCTACGCTCAAGCCGGTAGTATAAGCCTACTATGCGTGTAACCAAAACTTCCATTCACCTAGTTGTTGGCAGCACCTATAGTTAGGGTGAATCACGTAACTGAACTCCAATTTCTTAATCAAAACGGAATTATTTTGTATATGGACGAGTTCTGTCCTGAATGCATATATGTTTAATACTACATGTATTTCCAAAGCAACCAACTTCGTAATTATACAGACGGCAGTGTGACGGATGCACGGCACCATAATGCAGCCGTAGTCGTAACATGAGTTGACTTCAGCATGCTCAGTGGGGAAAGTGCCTATCGTCGGTAAGTTGTGTCACCTATCTTAAAATTATACCTAGGCCCGTAAGTTGTAGTATAGACCTTTTCACACTCTACTATACTACCATCGAAGCTGAAGCCAACTAGGAGATTTTCATCCCGAGTCAGCCAAATCGCCCCTCCATGCATTGGAGAAGGGCGGGCGGTACCTGCTGGGCAGCACAGCACAAGAACAAAAAAATGACTTTGTGTACACTTATGGTTTTTGCCGAGGACGCCGGGCCTGGCCCGAGTTCAACCCCGAATCACACTTGTTTCGTACAAACGTATTTATTTCACCCCGGCGACATAAAGTCGGCGCTCTGGGTGAACACGAATTCTTCAGACTTTATTGGTTGAAAGTGAATATAACGTAAGTGTTTGATGCCGTCTGTTGTTCTTTCTACACATTTCTTTTAAGTGGGCATGAGATTTGCGATCTAAGCTGGGAAAGAGACCGGGTGTATTTTTTAAAGGGTATCATTTACTTTTCATGAAGTCTGGCCGTTTACAATAATAACACAACTCAAAAGAAGAATGTTACAAATTACAACTTACAAACCTAATCTGTTGTAGTTCTAACTCGGTGGACATTACACCCTTCGAAAAACATCTACAACCTCTTTTGATCATGCAACACGATTTTGTCCACAGCACTCTTTATATTCCAGCACTATTATTTCCAAAAATCAGTCAATCGACTGATGGTTGTACGTTAGGCCTACTTGAATTGTCTTATATTTGACAACAAGACCGAAGGAATAATTTTAAGGAGTTAAGTACCAGTAGGATCTTGTATCCAAGTATGACTTTTTGATAATTCCGTATCAGACACTGTTAAAAAAAATGTAAATTGTTATTACATGTACCTTCATGCCAAGTTTTTGAACAGTGGGTTTTTTTTGGGCCAGTAGAGGGCGCAACAATACCTTATGTGAAGTCACAGACCTGTCGTAAAATGCACAGTACGTGCTCTGTTGATGAACGGTTGTTTCTATATCGGCTGTTTGAGAAAATGACATGCAGTTTACCAGTAAATAAAATATTTGTAACTTTCAACCATGACGGTGGAATAGGACAGACAAAGGAGAATAAATTAACACAAAAAATGCAACGCCTGTATCCAACCAAGTGATGGTCATGCAGCATTGAATCCACCCTAGTAAACAATGATCCATGCAGCCTTGATACGGTAGGCAAAACATGCATGACAAACTGTGTAGCTCTGGTACACGCATGTTCACGACCACATCCCCGTTTGGTCGATGATGACGTCCGACAACGGCTTTTGACGAGCGACGGTCGAACATGTCCGACTCATTGAGTCCGATGACCGATTATGTCCAACTCTTTGTGTCCAACGGCCGATTATGTCCGACCCATTGTGTCCGACGTCCGATTATGTCCGACCCATTATATCTGACGGCGATTATGTCCGGCCCATTTTATCCGACGGCGATTATGTCCGGCCCATTGTGTCCGACGGCCGATTATGTCCGACCCATTATGTCCGACGGCCGATTATGTCCGACCCATCATATCTGACGGCGATTATGTCCGGCCCATTTTATCCGACGGCGATCATGTCCGGCCCATTGTGTCCGACGGCCAATTATGTCCGACCCATTATGTCCGACGGTTGATTTATTTCCGACCCATTGAGTCCGACGGCCGATTATGTCCGACCCATTGCGTCCGACGGCCGATTGAGGATTTTGTTTAATTTGCATGTCGGTCTACATTGTTGATAATGTGGAAGACAAATCTTAATTTAACACCGTGATGTGACAATGCGGCCGGCTGTATATAACATTATTCAGAAGCATTCACTCATAAAGTAACGGATTGGATTTGAATAGAATTGGATACCAGGAATCCGAGTTTTCCTTACCCAATTTTGTCCGGTTCAAATGGACTCTGAAACTGTGTTGTCATATAACATTTGGACATTGGTCTTTGGTCGTGGTTTGTTCCTGCAAGAACAACCCCTGAACTAAGGCCAGGACCACGGCCCAAGAGCTTGGAACTTAATTTTGGTAAGCACTGCTTGGATATTGTCTGTGCTGTTCGGTATGTTGTACAGGCTCGGCCAAGGCCAAAAAAAGTCTCCGGTTTCCGGTCTGCGCACCTCGCCGTTTGCGTCGGAAAAATTATTATTATTTTTTCAACATAACATGATATCTCCAAACCGCCAAACTCACTGGTTTGACTGGAATCCTGCTACTGCACAATTTTAACATGTTTTTAGATGGGGCTACGATCCAAGTTCAAGCTGTATGTGACCTCTCTGTGCTCCCATATATTTTGCACTAAATTTAGTCGGGCACCATTTGCAGACTGTGCTGTAATTTTGTAATTGTGCGTCCGGAAGCCAGACTGAGGGAGCGATGGTCGTGTATCTGGAACAAGTAAACGCTTTTTAATTACCGCAATATGTAAGGGAACAGACTTATAAACAGCCTGGCAGCTTATGCACGATGTCGATGACGCTGTTATGGTCTAACGTTAGTTACTACTGCTTTCTCTGCTTTTTGTCTTGACTATCCAAATTTCCCGAAGAATGTTCGTGTCGGTCGAGATCGTAAGTGGGCGCAGAATTCTCAAGCCCTATGCATGGCCTTACTGAGGTCACCTCAAGCGCCGCTATGAAGGATATTAATTGAGAGTTTTAAAGGGATCGAAGCGTCATCCAACATCAGCCGACATTCGAAGGGAAAAAAAGTAGGAGGGGCAAGCCAGAATCCCGGGACATACCGTTATTTCGTTTTACCGTTTTGCATTTCCTCAAAAACAAAAACAGTA